TATAATTTTTGCTGTTCTTCAAGCAACAGAAGCCAAGCCAATACCTGGAGCTCAAAATCAAGAATGCTTTCAATTCAACTGCGAGAAATCAACGTACCCATAACATCATTCCGTGGGTCTCTGATTGGGAGGCCGTGGGTAATCAACCGTTGAAAAAATCATTCGTCGTTACGATAAGTTACCTAGTACTTGTGTTGCGAGACCGCCTATTCTACCCTGGGGATCATTGACCGGCGGGAAGACACAATCAAGGCAAAGTTCAACGCCACAGTCCCAGTATCAGCTGTTTTCTTAAAGACGGGGATTTTTAACAAGACCTAACAATAGTTATGAATATTCTGGAAAGTTTTTAAGATTTCACTTATGCAAATCATGCTTACTTTCTATCAGCAAAGTGTTTCTGAGTTTTCATCGTGATGATTTGAGGACAATACTACTCTGATGCAATACCCGTAGTGCTACCCTAGTGCTGTTAGTCGCAGAGAAGGATTGAGTAATATTGAATAAAATACCGGTTGAAGCAAGTGCGCCTTTTATGAGGTTTTGACACATAGCTAGGAGAAATGTCCAGCTGTTTGAATAATAATAAAAAAATGAGAGAGAGGGGGGGGGGGGGGGAGTCGGACTTTGGATATACGTGTAATCACTGCATAAAGAATTTTATTCACTTGTGTTCAAAGTCCAGTAATCAGTTTGTCTTAATCGGGTTCAAGTATGGATTCTCTTCTAGCGAGAATCCGACATTGCATGAATTCTTTTCTATATTAAAACGCCATGTCCGTCAACAGCCTACCTAAAACGAAGATTCTACAGGATTCATAAGGTTCGTGTCCCCAATGCCTCTAATCTTAGGCATCCATATTTGGGTCCTGACCCCCACAACCCCAATTCCCAATCTCCAAAATAAATTTTAAAAAGGAAAAGAAAAAAATTAAAAATTCAGGTCACTCGGAGTTGTTTTAGTGGCGTTTTAACGAATATAAACCCCAATAAAAATGCACGTAAATATATACACAATGTGAAATGCTCTCTAGATATTGTGTACATGCTAGACTGCTAACTCTGACCTGAAATAAGCTTACCTAAGGGGGGTGTATAAAATATAGGTTCGTCTGTAACATTATAAATGTGAAGCACAATTGCTTACTATAATAATAACGCTAGAATCATTTCTGAAAATAGAAAAATTCTGATAAAAAATCAGATTGAATTGATTTTGTGAAACTACGATGCTAATTCTGCTCTCAAAAATAAAACTTAAAGATATTGTAATTTATATATAGTGTATGTAGGCAAAGAGATTACGTTAGTTCTTGGCACAGTTGAAATTTTCTTATCGTTATTAAACTCCTCCCACATACACTTCTCTTCCGAACCGCCGTCTTCCGATTAACAGTATTGTTAGCGGATTAAGGCAAGAATCATTCTGATGAGATTTTTAAAGCTTATTGGAAAATCAAAATCAAACGTATCCAAGTTTGAACAAATCACTAAACGAAACAACGGATGCATGCTCTTAATAGATGGGTTTGCAGTACATGAAATGTATATGTAGGCCTACCTGGGGGGAGAGAGAGAGAGAGAGAGAGAGAGAGAGAGAGAGAGAGAGAGAGAGAGAGAGAGAGAGAGAGAGAGAGAGAGAGAGAGAGAGAGAGAGAGAGAGAGAGAGAGAGAGAGAGAGAGAGAGAGAGAGAGAGAGAGAGAGAGAGAGAGAGAGAGAGAGAGAGAGAGAGAGAGAGAGAGAGAGAGAGAGAGAGAGAGAGAGAGAGAGAGAGAGAGAGAGAGAGAGAGAGAGAGAGAGAGAGAGAGAGAGAGAGAGAGAGAGAGAGAGAGAGAGAGAGAGAGAGAGAGAGAGAGAGAGAGAGAGAGAGAGAGAGAGAGAGAGAGAGAGAGAGAGAGAGAGAGAGAGAGAGAGAGAGAGAGAGAGAGAGAGAGAGAGAGAGAGAGAGAGAGAGAGAGAGAGAGAGAGAGAGAGAGAGAGAGAGAGAGAGAGAGAGAGAGAGAGAGAGAGAGAGAGAGAGAGAGAGAGAGAGAGAGAGAGAGAGAGAGAGAGAGAGAGAGAGAGAGAGAGAGAGAGAGAGAGAGAGAGAGAGAGAGAGAGAGAGAGAGAGAGAGAGAGAGAGAGAGAGAGAGAGAGAGAGAGAGAGAGAGAGAGAGAGAGAGAGAGAGAGAGAGAGAGAGAGAGAGAGAGAGAGAGAGAGAGAGAGAGAGAGAGAGAGAGAGAGAGAGAGAGAGAGAGAGAGAGAGAGAGAGAGAGAGAGAGAGAGAGAGAGAGAGAGAGAGAGAGAGAGAGAGAGAGAGAGAGAGAGAGAGAGAGAGAGAGAGAGAGAGAGAGAGAGAGAGAGAGAGAGAGAGAGAGAGAGAGAGAGAGAGAATTTGCTGCTATTTCTAAAACAAACATTATTCGGATAGATACCCAGATTTTTCCGGACGTGAAGCATGGCGACCCTAAGTGTTCATCATTCATGTGAAGGGAAGAATCCGTAAACAACTTGAGGTATAAGAAGGAATGTCGATAACATTTAACTCTTTTTTGGCGTGAATTTATATGTCATCATTGTCGAATATTTGAGTAATACTGTACATACAATCTCAATGAAATTGTTAAGCAAAGTTACTAGTTTAAAATTTGGTCAAAATAAAGGTCACTTTTAAAGTTCTCTAATTTCCTTGTTTCAATGTGAAAATTACGGCACTGTGTACTCCTTCTTGCTTTTTATTCCCTCCACAACCACCCCACGCTACCAACGCTTTTCCGAAACGTCATTTAATCACGCGCAGAATGTAAATTAGAAGTACAAGCACGGGCACGTATCATGTTCCTTAATGGGAACCCCAAAGCTTTTACATCACATTCGAATTTGCTCTGACATAACCTTTGTTTGACCTATACCTCCTCTCCACATAGGAAAACAAACGTATCGTTTTTCTTGTAAGGAAAGCGACTAAAAATATTAATGAAGGAACGCGTGCCGCGGCAAGTGCGCTTGGAATGACTGAAGACGCGATGGAAGCTCTAAATTTAACCGCCAACCAGGAGGTGCGAAAAGTTCACTGACAGGAGGGCCGTAGCGTTGAGGTGCGTTCATCCGGGTATTTTTGTTTACAAACAAGCTAGGTTCTTGGATCGTAGTTCTCTTATTAACGCATCAAAGTCAACGGTGAATAGGATTGGTGTATTTTTGTGTGCTCTGCGAAGGGGGGGGGGCATGACACTGCATTGGTGTCACTCGCTCCAGTTAACTTACAGAAATACCCGTACCAAGCAAAGTGTCATTTATCTTCTTTACTAGACAAGTAAAAAATATCTGATATTGGCAGCTGACACGACGTAACCTGATACCTTGGATCAAAACCATGATGAATGTGCTCGTGTCATCCTAAGCACCATAACCGGAGTATATTTGTCCACTACCGCTCTAGTAATATCAGTGCTAATTATAGTTATAAACAATTGTTGTTGACCATTTAGGATTATACTGTACCTTTGTACATGTGCGGCGCTGTATAGGGACTTGGACGATTTTGATATGGAACCAGTGTGTAATTTCCAAACAATCGCAAGAACAGGTAGGTTTTGGGTACAAAGAAGGTTCACAAGGTGTCGCTGTAGTGATATAAACATATTCATTTCAACCTAGAAGATATAAACATGTGCGGTGCATGCAGGCCTATATGTAGAAAATCAAAAAAGACGTTCACAAAGTTAATTGCGTCAAGGGAAGAATGTATTATTGTACAATACAAATTTGAGCTACAAAATCATTACATTACATTGCATTAAGCACATAAATCCCATAAAAATCATAAAAGCACTCACGCAGACCTCAACCAAGGAAGCGTAATTCATTATATTATTAATTAGCTAATTAATTGATGGATCACCAACAAAATCAAATCAATTCTTAGATAGCTCATTTCCGACCTATTCTGAAGTTCTATCAAAATATGTCCATCACCTTTTCAGTAAGGTTGTCATTAAGTAACATAACAACAAATGCAAATACATAATATCCTTGTTGAAGGTAATAGACCAATAACTGTACACGTACATTTTTGTGAACCATTACATCACATTAAACGATGCCATTAAGTCATTAATCCACGTATGGTGACAAAATGGAACTTCAGAGTAGTAATAGCTGCACCTTATGCAAAAAGCGTTTATTTTATCGTCCCACATAGTAATAAGCTAATCTATAGATGTCCGCAAGATATCCTAATCGCTTAGAACAGATAAGACGGTGAGTTTACGTACATGTACGCTATATCAAGTGTACTAGATACCCCTTCTTTTTTATTGTATTTCGTTTGTTTTTTAAGGTTTACGTGTGAGATTATCCACCTTGAAGCTGAGCAAGTATCATGCCAGAACACCTTGGTTGTCAGCGAGATGTGTTCAAGGCATATATCGCGAAATGGTGGCAGTTAATTATTTGACATACACACCGAGCTAAAAAAAATACTCGCATTTTACCGGAAAGCACCTCTAAAACCGAATAACATATAACGCCACTGTCACATTAAGTCCCTAGGCATGTATTTGGACACACTTCTGTGGGTGCTATAACCCCATGGAGATAACCTCGAGTCTCAGTGGAGACGATTTATTGTTGATCTTATGATTTAATGTACGGAGAACTGTTTGATTGAGATTTATCACCAAACGCGACAGCTGAAGGACTAACTGCAGGCGTAGCGTTCCGCTCTCTGGTGTTCGGTGACACAGAAATAAGGTGACTTATCTCAAAAAAATAATTCTCATTCAGCCAAAAGTTAGACTTAATATTGAGATAGGGTTTTGAAGTGAACTTTATGAATCATGGGTGTTCACGTTAATGAGGATGTTGGACCTGCCATGTTTTAGACAGACACGTGTATATTTGAACGGGATGATTCAGATTTATCGCAGCTGTGACCTTGATGTACATGTTGTACAAGCTTGAAGAGCAGTCTAGAATAACGAAAGGACTGCAGTTTCTCGGCCATTTGTACGAGAGATGAGTGCTGGTCAGTTAAATGGAGACGGCGATATCAAAGTGAAATACAATAAAACATTTTTGGATGTTTTCACACGCCCAATGATTCAGATTAATTTTTACGAACATGCTTTTAAAAGAGATATTCCTTAAGCATGCTTATCAGGAAAAGGGTGCAACTTCAAGCCAGTATACATTGCAACGGTTGCTGTGCATTTCAATCGTGATCTTTTTACTCCCATTCGATTTTCAGCAATTAATTTTTTCATTTGGAAATAGACCATTAGTTGTTGTTGTTGTTGCTCTTCTTCCTCTTTTTCTTCCTATTATCATTATTATTTCAACAACAAAAAAGGGAATCGGTCATAAAGTTAGGGAAATATTTGACATTTATTCTTTTTTTTTTTTTTTTTACAGCCAGTCTTATTCGCGTACTCTGTATATCCCTTGAACTATGAATCCCTTTTCTTTTTCAGATGACGGACAGATATATTGTAACAGTACCTGGAACACTTTGAGTTGCTGGCCCACTACGCTGGCAGGAACGCTAGCCGTGATACAATGCCCACCTAAACTAGGCGACTATCCGCTGGACGCCACGAGTAAGGCTTTGGTGATTTAAAATAATGTCATATAAAAGTTTTTTATAAAAAATATTCTTCACTTTTAATATCTTTTATTCTATTAAAGTTGCCACTTTAATTTTTAACCCTATTTATTTCAATGTCTTATTTGGTAAATTGTTTGATTACTCAACTATCGGTATAATGATTTTCGCGAAAAACCAATTTAGAACAAGATTTGGATTACACAATTACTATAGACGTTTTAACTAGTGAAACATAATATATATCAAATTAATGCCATATTTTACAAGTGTTTGAAAAATACAGACAATTGAAATATTTTTTCTGTGGCATACATTGCAATTCGATTGATGTGGCATGCAATTCGAGCATAAAATAATTCAATTATTGCTATGGAAGGGTTGTTTGAAAAAGGCGAGATGAATAATTTAAACACTGAAGTTTACTGTTTCTTTGTTAACAAAACGAAATGAATAAGAGAGCAAATAGTTCAGTCTTGTTTTGAAAATGGTATTAGTATTTTCAGGCAGGGTGGGATAAGTGGGCTTTGATGGCCGCATTGATAAGAATGTTCTAATCATGATCAACATAATCTAACTGACAAAGATTCTTGTCCGGACATACACACACACACACACAAAACGTGTTTATCTGGAAGATATTAGATTCATACCAATTGTCGTTTCAGAGAACGCCACGCGGTACTGTCACGTGAACGGTACGTGGGCGGAGAAGGCAGAGTACGCTGCCTGCGTACCAGAGCTTCCCACGCCGGACCCGGAGGTAAGACAAACCTTAAAGCGTTATTCACCACCTATCATATTTTTCACAAGATATTCACAGATGTCCTTAGATAAACAGACGCTCATTTGGCTCTCTGTCACCCTGCAATGAAATCTCAAGGATGATTACATGGCTGGTAATTGTTTGCATAACTGCTCAGGCACTGCCATTTCACAGGCCCAAGCCAAGTCCCCTTGACAGCCATCAATACAATATTTTTTTTTATAAAAAAAACTTGCTCTTTTTGTGACAGATAAAAAAGCCCCTTCTGAATAGCTTTTTACTAAAATTTAAAGTTAACTGAGGAATCTCCTGTAGAAACTCCTTACAGAGCGAGTACAATGCCATCTGCGCAGTTGCAGATTCTGCTTCCATCTGGCGAAAAGTTACAGGATGGAAATGTAAAAAATGTGCCTATAATATCTGCTACCGTGGTAGAGGGTACCTAACATACGTGGGTTAAACAGTCATGTTCATCAACCCACTGAACCTATATAAATATGTATGTAACTCTGAGAAAGAACTTGAACTAAAAGTGACTTGTGGTCAGTGAGGATTGGCGCCAAAGAAATGGCTTCTGTGCCATGGATTATTTAGCGTTTATAAGATTTCCCCTCAACTGCTAGTGTTTTTATAACATCAGCTTCGTACGTCTGCCATCGAATGTAGATTTAATTATAGTACAAAAATAAAAACCCAATATTAAATAATGTTGCTCTGTGATAAATAAAAAAAAGACCCAGCGATATCCTTTTGTGACCCATAACTGAACTCTCTCTCTCTCTCTCTCTCTCTCTCCTACACATACGAACTATTTAATTTGCGCATTGAAGTTCTGACCCGAGACTAATTGAAACAGAAAATAGAGTATCGTTTACCTTAACAGAAATATCTCGAGAGAACCTTTTCAGATGAGCAGTTGCTGTGATAAGCTCTATAGATTAAAAGAGCGTGTGGTTAAGATCCATCAGGTGTAACCTTGAAGGTGACAAGCCATTAAATCAGTGCTAAAGGGATTTATAGGTTTCGAACAAGGCTAGATTTTCCTGTGTTCAAATGCCGTATTAAACCGGTCAATGTATCGATGACGTCATTAGAATTTAGGTTATTAATCTGGGGGAAATTCGTTCATGAATCGCCTCTTTTCTACTCTCTTAAACATTAAATAAATGTTAACCAAAATATCATCCACACTTGAATTTGGTATGAGTTTTAATGCACATGTTCTCATGTTAAATATGGTGTCATTATTCTAAAAATGAGACTTTACACGAAAGAGCTGAAAACTGAAGATTTTTGTAATGTGATCGGGGTGTTTGTAGGTAATGATGCGGAACATTGCCTATGACAAAGTTTTTCAATAGAACGCCGGTTGCAAAATGCGGCTCTAGAAATGTCCTCGGGACGTAACCTGAAATGAAATTTACGAACCAAAACTCTCTATTTCTCTCTCTCTCTCTCTCTCTCTCAAAATCAGTTCAAAGCGCGACCAACGGAAGTGTGCGCAGGTGAACGACCTGAACCTATGAATTTTGTCGAGACGACATTTGTTACTTTAACCTTTGAGATAAGTAGGAGGGAAGTCGAGATAAATAGTGAACAGATTTACGGTGTAAATAACTTAGGGCGGAACAAACACTTGGTTCTGATTTTTAGCTATCTCAAAGTCCGTTGCGATAACGAAGTGTTATCAAGTAAAAAGCTCGCTTGCAAAAAATATAGTGTATGGGATATTGCACCCCAAAGCATTGTGCAGTTTTATTTTTATGATATATAGAAACTACAGACCACTGACGCTTTCTGAACTGAGAAAAAACACACGTAAGAAATGTTCAGAACATATAATCAATAAATGAATTCTAATGTTTTACCTTTAATCGAAAAAAGCAAAATGTATCGACCAATATAAACAGTCTAAGTCTCCTACACTGCAGAGGTTGGCTCGTTCAACAAAAACTTCTCGTCTTATTTTTAAAACAGACTAGCAACGGCATTCTTGCTTATATTTTCCACGTAACAATATTTTCATTTATAGATCAATGCCATTTATTTCTGATAATCCCGAATCATTTCAGTACTCGTTTTAAACAGATTTTCTTGAAGTATCTATTTCCGGGTTATAAATCTATTCAATTATAGACTCACTATTTTTGCCAACATTTATTCTGTAATATAATGAGGCAATGGCCTCGGGTGACTCTCTACACTTTACAGCTTTAAGATTAAGTTAACTTGAAAATAAAAATGTAGCCTTTCCGGTCAAGGGTGACAGCTCTAATAGAAATCTGACAGCTCATAGTGCGAATGAAATTTTCCGTGCAGCAAAATTAAATGCAAAGGACGAAATTGAGATGTTCCGTGCGTTTCAGAATGTGAACGCCATCCACCTGCCGCGTGTGGTAGTTGTAGACCTAGGCCGTCACAGCACCCCCTATGTTGGCGCACTTTGTTGGAAAGATCGCCTGCCTCTTGTCTGACTAAGGGCGGGAGGCGTCCAAGGAACGGCGTTTGTTTTTCATTCAGACAGTTTCTCAAGAATCTAATGGTTTTGACAGACGACTCATGTATCAAATTATAAAACACTTATTGAAATGATAAAACGAACGTTGTGGCCGCTGCAGGCGACATTAATGTCGAAGGCAGACTTTGCGGGTGTGCTAGAATTACTTGGAAATTTTATGAAAGACGGACGGATTATCTGCTCGCGTATATCATTTAAGTCGTTAATTTTGCGCCAATATATAAAACCTCACTACCGTAAGCCAGATAGATTGGACATCATCTTAATGACGTTCTAATAGCTTATCTTTACAATTTTACATGTACACCACGAGATTTGTATCAGCTGTCTATCGATTTATTTGAACGAGTTCTATTATTTCATAGGTCAGAAATTTTTATGGTCAAAATATCTTTTCAAAATCTTTTTGTATGGTCAAATAAAGCACAAGTAAACACAAACATTTTCTGTAATAGGATACTCGTAATCACTATGCGCAATGTATCATAATATTATGCCGTTTGGTGGAATGCATTTTCAAACAGCACAGAGGGGAGGGACGAATCCTTTGACATTTCTCATTTCAACATTTGTTAAAGTTGTATTTTAACCCGAGTGACAACCATATTGACCACCACCTTCTCGGTGCCAGTAAGACTCCAAAATCAGTAGAATTTACATTTTAATACTTTTGGTCCAGATTTAACTAAATGTCTAATGCTAACTGCTAAATGTTATTGCCGACCCCATAGTGTGGAGAATATAATTACCTGTATTGCATGGGTCACATGAGGAAAGGAGCAGATCGAGGACAGATTGTCAATGAAATGACACAGCATTGGTTTAAGGCCATGTTATATATAGTTTCTGCCGAGGTATCAGTTTACAAATAAACGGTCTTGTATTGAATTTTGTTCCCTTCAAGATTCCATATAGTGTTTTGGTGACGCTTGTTTGTAGGTCTCTAATACTAGCGGTTGATTAATTTTACCTCGATGATACAAAAAGATTATGAATTGAAGTTATATATGTCACAATGTTATGTCATTAAGCATTTTAGTAAATAAAATGACTCATCCAAAAAATGAATCCTACAGTCTGTCAATGGCGTGATGTAAGAGCGAAACTGTCACTCAAACGTGAGCCGAAAACAAGTTTTGCGTGAGGAAATCGGAGAGAAAACACTCATATAATCCACGCATTCCAAGAATCGATAGAAAAATCATTGTAAATTGATTATCAGACACACCATTACTTTGAGATATTTCTCAAACAATTTTACATATAAACAATATCACTTCTAGTGATCCACAGCTATACATGTTCGTATGCAGCTAATGGCATGTGCTTTACGCACGACATTATTCTCTCCCCTCGGAATTTTAACACTAAAATAGCTATACAAAAGAAGAAAATAAAAAAAGAAACGGCGTTGGTGTTTTTCATTTGTTGATCAAAATTTTCTTATTTTAGGATATAGAACACAACTTCCCTGTCCGGCTTGTCTACTACTCTGGGTATGGTCTGTCCAGCCTGGCACTCCTGGTAGCCCTCACCATATTTGTCTACTTCAGGTAATGCTGTACTGCAGGTCTTACGCTGCCGTTACCTTAAGTGTGTATATTAAATGATATTATAAAGATTAAAATCTTAAAAAAAAAACATTAGAAAGGTACAATGGCTTGAGACATGAGCACCAGCGGTTTTCGTAAAGGTAAATCGTAAACGGTTAAGATGCATAAGGGGGCTATATTCCCGCTAAGTGTGCATTTCCCTGGCAGACTTTAGCTATCGACTAAAATAAGGGTGCTAAAAAGCATTGTTCTTAGTTCAAATATCTAAAAGCCGCGAATTTTAACTGTCATTTTCATGTGCAATGGGGCACTACACCAAAAAGCTTGTTTATTTCACTAAAATATAGAAAAGAAACTGCTCTATGATGGAGTTTCAGTTCTCTGTAACCGTACTTTTAGGAGTTTAAGATGCTTACGAAATACAATCCACTGTCATCTCATGGTGTCCTTCCTGGTGCGGAATATAAGCTGGATGCTGGTCATGAACCTTTTGTTGCCTAAGATCCACCTGGAAGAGGAGACACAGGTAACCCCCCCTCCCCCCTCTCTCTCTCTCTGCATTTAATCATTAAAATATATTAAAACTGTAATTGCACTACCAACTGTGTTCCACCATGGTGGTATTAAGAAAGCGAGATTGTGTTATGTGTGACAATAAGTTCAATTCTGCTGGATGTGCTGCAGCAAGGCACACCAAACACATTTCAAAGTGACATCGTCTCTTTTCTCTTCCAGTGGCTGTGCAAGGCCATACTGGTGGTCTGGCATTATGTGCATTCCACGAATTACTTCTGGATGTTTGTAGAGGGTTTGTACCTACATCTTATGGTGGTGTGGGCCTTCTCTGCCGACAAGGTCAAGCTGTGGGTTTACCTGCTTATTGGTTGGGGTAAGCAACCTGTTCTTTAATGTGCTTTCAAAACCACGAGTGGCAAATATCTTTGCGTGGGCACAAAGAGAGGCTCTGAGCTTGTTTGAAACAGATAATAGACTAGATTTTACAGGGTACATGTATATGACACGTGGCAAACTCCAATCACGTTGGAAGCTTGTGATTGTATTTTCCACAGTTGAAGTGATAAAGGAGTGTTTTGATATAATTTTAGCCATTGTTTTTTTTTTAACAAAATAGGGCACTGTACTGCTTTCATGAACACAGAAAAAAAAACGCCTGCGCGGCATGTTATTTTCTTCTCTCAAACCATTGCTCCATCACTGGACGTTTGTTTTATTTGTAAAGTACGTTCTTTATGAATCATGATAAATTTATGCTGTCATGTTATCCTTACATGATATTTGTCGTTTTTAATGTTGGAATTGGAACATGCTGGTATTCACCTGTTGGAAACAATGCATGGAATCTACAAATATACAAAGTGTGTGGTTTTTTGGGACATTATATATCAACCTGAATAATGTGAAGTTATGGAATTTAGAATAAATGCAAAACCATTTTTTGTTTGCAATTCCATAATGAAATAGGAGGTGCTATTAAACTAAACCGGTGCTTTCATATTTTAACATTTTCGTCGATGGTTAAGGTGGAAGAACGTGATGAATAGAACAGAAATGAACATATAATATCAAACATCATTACAATAATCAGTATACAGCAGGTCTGCGTTATAGTGTATGTTTAAATATACATGCATGTATTAAAAGAGACTGTACTTGGCACTTATTTTAACTTTTTATTACAGAGAAACTCTGATTTTCTACAGGATAAGTTTTATTTTGCAGGAGCCCCTGCACCTACGTCCATCGCATGGGCTTTAACAAAACACCATTTACAAAGTGACGAGTGAGTATATTTAATATTTAGTATCAGTAATAGTTTCCCTCCATCTTTGCTAAAATCATAAATATACCCCCCCCCCAAAAAAAAAAAATTCTGACATAACTTATATTTACATGTACAGTATATATATATATATATATATATATATATATATATATATATATATATATATATACACACACACTCAGTCGTCAGTATTTATAATTCGTACTTGGAGTAATAATAATAGTACAAATGCTTATAAAATGAAATTTTCAACTTAAAATTATCTCTACTGTCTTTTTAAGAACCAAATTATTACAGCAAACGTGTCTCAGAGACTCCTTTGACTTCATGTGAGTTAAATTGAGTAAACGATGGATTTTTTTTCGTTGACAGGAACTGCTGGGGTGCAGAGAATTATAACAGTCAACCCGAAGATTATATTGTGACGGGACCCATATTATTCGTCTTAGGGGTAAGTAAAGAGTACCATTGGCACTACAATCCAGATCATTGTTTTCACTCTATATTCTCTGTAATATGATATTACAAGAATTTTATGAATGATTGCAATTGGTTAAGAAAATGACATACGGAAAACGTGAAGATACAATGATACATATACTGATGGTCGGTCATATAATCATAAGAGTTTCTGAATGGCCAAACTAAACCAAGATATTATGAGAAAATCTGTAATGTACATTCCGTTCCAATTCATGAAAAAGAAATGATTAGTGATTTTTTGTGTGCAGATAAAGACTAAATGTAAAACCTTGCATCAGTTTTAATGGAAATCTAGATTTATTAAGCGGTTTGCTGTAGTATAATTCCGCCATTTTCCCAAATGTTTGTCATTGTTTAGTACATGTGTTTGGAGGCATTTCTATGCCATTAAACACAGCCCATACCAATAAAATGGTACCCGTCAAATTCTTCCTTATTCTTACAAATAGGTCAATCTCATATTCCTGGGAACAATAGTGTGGGTGCTGATAACCAAGCTACGGGCGTCAAATAGCTTAGAAACCAGGCATTCCAGGAAGGCCGTCAAGGCCACTCTGATTTTAATGCCGCTAGTCGGCGCCACGTATATGCTGTTCCTGTACCCACCGAGCAATGATCCTATCACAACCAAAGTGTTTAGGTATACCAATGCCTTCTTGCAGTCCACACAGGGATTCTTCGTCGCTTTGTTTTACTGTTTCTTTAACGGGGAGGTAGGGGCATTTTCAGTTTCATAAGTTAATGGATGCCTTATATTAATTATGTATTGCTGTTATTATAGCCACAGTTAGGCATCACGCGTTACCACTATCAGGCATAATACGCTTTAGAGCTATTGCTGTTTTAATATTTCTCTCTTTCTCTGTTCAGTATTAACAAAAAAGGGGGAAAACAAATTTCATAATTCATAAACATTATATGCAATGTTAAGAATGGTGATCTAATTATTACATATGCACCGTGGTCATGTCCAACTCGAAATACATCAGGACCAATCCACTTTTTCGTCTTTCTGTAACTTATGTAGTCTACAGCTGGTCCCTTTTGTTTCATATTAGGTTCAGAATGCTTTGAAACGAAAGTTCTCAAGATGGCAAGACGACAGAAATATAATCAACTCTACGCGGTGGACACGAACATCAATGGACAAAGGCGAAGCAAGGACGAGTCTCTGTGTGAACAACGACCAGCTGCTGCCTCTAAATGAAAAACGAAAGCAAACTGAACTGAGACACAGCACAGCCCCAGATCGAGACCGCAATGGAAACAAAGCGAATGGTCACGTGACCGTTACCGTGGAAATGGATATCGAAAGCTCCAAACCTTTGATTGGTGGTTCTGAGACTGTCGCTAATCTTTGAGCTACTACCTGATATTGTGTAACGCTGGTTCTGCAGAACAAAACGTTGATCGGTTCACTAGGTACAGACGGTAACAGACATTAGATCTACCGCCAAGTACAAATTACTGATTCTGCACCAAATGGTAGAGGACAAGCCTGTG